ACTCATTTGATAACATCTGCATAAAACTAAGGAGCAGCAGATCATTTCAGATAGAAATGTATTTTATGTGCGTTTACAGTTAATATGAGAACACAAATGATGGGAAAATCACGACGCATGGCTAAGCTGGGTACAAGCTCACTTCCTGTTTTCAGTAATTCACTGCAGTGCATTCCTCATCTCATCCCTCCTTTCTAGCCCTCCTTATTGTTCTCTTTGGTACACAAAGACACATCTCATCTCATGACGTGCTACCATCTCCTCTGATCTCATCCCATTAAAAACGTGTCAGAAACAGAAAAAAAACAGGTGGAAAGTGTTTTCACACGACATTCACATATGTTTCACACAAAACAGGAAATTCCCACATTCTCGTCAGCCATCATGGCTTTCTACTCATGATGGGCTGATAATTGTGTGTCTGATTGGTGTTACTATTCTACACTCACATGTTGGGAACAATGGAAGATGCAATTAATCAGCTGCAATGTTGCTTCCCATGAAAAAATATCTCCTAAAGATGGAGACGGTGAAACAAATGAGATCCAGACACAGAGGGAGATCTCACTGTCTTCTACTGTAACATAACAAAGCACAACCGAAACAAAAATAGTTTCCTGCTACTTGAACCCTCTGAATCCTGATCTAATGCTTCCTCTTCTACTACTACCACTTCACCTGACTTTTTCAGTTCAAGCACCACAGGCATGAATCATAATCAGGGCTGCAACTAGGGGTTACTTTCAATATTCATTCATCTTCATTATATACTGTTTAACAAACAACCGTTCTGTCTATAAAGTGTCAGTGGACAGAGAAAAAGTGATGTCTTGGTTGCTTGAGTGGCTCGTTTTTGTCTAACTGACAGCCCAAAAACTAAAGATATTCCATTTACAATTATATAAAACAGAAAAAAAACAGAAAATCCTCACATTTTAAAAAACTGGAACCAGAACATTTTTTGGCAATTTGAGCTTGATAAATGGCTTAGCCTGGTGGTTACCATCCAATTTCTGCTTGTCACCCCTTAATATGATGCAATATCTACCTACAGGTTGCATGTCTGTGAGCTGTGAGCAGTGACTGAATAGTTTGTAGAGGCCTAAAGAGGTAAATGATCCAGACAAACACAAAGATTAGAGACAAAGTCTTAAAAATACATGAAATAATAAAATAAATCTGCAGGACATGATGCAGTGAGTGGAAGTGGGAAGGACGGAGTGATTTATTTTACATTAGCATCATCTAAGCCACAAACTACCCTTTTCCACCAATCATGCTTCAGTAACAAATGCAGCAGGAGATTTAACACACTGTATATTGTGCTCAGACAGCAGCTCAGTGCTTTATGGCCCCTGAGGGACACTGTAGACGGGTGACTTCCCATCGCCTATAGTTTCAATATTAACATCAATCATGAGAAGCAGTAAACGGCAAATACTTTAATCTGTGGTGTTTTTAACCCTTTTCTTGCTGCTCCAAAAAGGCACCAGGAAGCTGTTGGGTGACTTAATTAAAAGTTGGACAGTGGAGGGATGCATGAAAGGAGCAGGACGTTTTATTAGAGTATACTGTACGGCCTCGTTTTGTAAAAGCAAGTGAACCAAAACACATCCACAAAGGCTTTCAGGCTTTCCACAAACAAACCTGCTGTCTGCCATTAGTACCCAGACAAATATACGTGCCATATTGTATGTTCAAAAAGGCAAATCTGTCCTTTTATCTTTGGCTGTGAGCTTCACAGTGCAGGCCACTGGTGTCTCCTGTTCCTGCCAAGACCTGGTTCCCATGAGGGCCCATATGACGCACAGCAAGAATCTGGCTACCTAAACACCCCCTCAGTAGATCCACATGCTTCTCAGGACACTCTCACTCACACTCACACTCACACACTCACACACACACACACACAATCAAGTATTATTTTGATTGTTAAAGGTTAGATAGTAACTGTGGCTCCCTGGAAACGCAAAATGCAACTTTTTTTTTTTTCTGGATCATGTTCTGCCTCAAAATACTTGCACGAATATTTTTACATATTTCTTAATAACTTTTTAAATATTCTTGGATCTGAACCAATAATGAATCCCTTGGACGTTGGCCCATGGCTGAACTTTACCAGATTTCACTGAAACATGTAAACAAGACATTGAGATGCTGTACTAACGAGCAAACACAAATTAAAAAAAGAGGTAATAAACACACACATGAACTCACTATTAATGTAAACGTTTAAATTAAAATCAATTAAATGTTCAATTCTAGACATTCAGTCCGTCTCAAGAAATTAAACAAGAGGTGGAGAGGGAAAGGCCTGGCGTCTCACTTGAGACTGGGTCTTTCACATCCAATAAGCCATTAAAGCCCAGAGGAAATGCAGGACTTTTGGGGCCGAATGTTCCTGTGCTGCTGTTACTCATAGCTCCATGTATCGATTTCTGTAAAAAACGTCCCCTTTCACGCTCCACCAGCCATCCATTGAAGCAACACTAACAATTACACAATAATTACCTACAGAGCCGTGTGGGGCGACTGCTTCAGCCTCTGGAAGTGCTGCACAATTAGCCCTTAACCTCTGACTCCATGTTTTCTCTGCACTGCCATGACGAGTTCAAACATACGGGGTGCATTCCAATACTCATACTACCATAGTATTAAGTAAGCCAGAAAAAATATTTAGCATGTCCCAATACATAGTATGTCGAATGCAGTTTGCCAGTTTGTGAATATAATACTGAATGTCACATAGATTACAAAGTAACAGCAGACATTTATTACTTCTCAAACACACCCTGGTTTGGGAAGCTCCTGAAGCACTAGTAGTCTAAAATGCATAGTGCGTAACTGATTTGTCCCTGGTTCGAATTAGACGTGGACCGTTGTAACATGTCATACCCTCCACAAATTAACTGTCACATTTAGCTAAAATGGCTAAAAAGCATTAGTAATCTAAACATGAATCCAGGTGTATCCACTGACACAATAACAAGTTATTTTCGAGGATTGGACGATAGGGACAAAATGTCCTGTTTGCCACTGTCACCCCTTCAACCGCTTCAACAGTTGATAATAATAATAATGAACTGCAGTTTATTTCTGGATTACAAACTTTTTAAACATAATGTACTGCATTCCCATATGTCGTCTGCTGAAAAGAGCTGCAGGTGAGTACATTTTTTGCTGCGTACAACATTGTTCAGACAGGCTGTCAGTGGATGAAGCCCCCTTTTCCCCCCTGTTCCATTGTGAGTTTAATTATTTGCATCACATTTGACAGTTCAAGTGCTGACCGGGCAGAAATATAACAAAAGAAGTCCATCAGCCACAGCAGATAGCCAGCGTATTCATCCTGCCGGCCCATACATGCTGAAGAGGAGAAGAATTTGTGTGTGTGACATTTGAACAGGTGGACTGTTCAGCTGTGGACATACTGAATATCTTTCCTCATATCCAGATTAAAGCTCATTACTGTCACCTTATAAGTGATCAAACACACCTACATATGCACCTAAAAAAAAAAATTAAAAAAACCCACACCAACACACACCATAAAGATTTAAACACACAAAACTCCCCACCCTCTCCTTTGTCCCCCATGTCTCTCAGCCTCTCACTGTGCTGAGCAGCAGCTGATTGGACAGACGGCACATCACAGCTGCAGCATCTCCTGTGCAGGTTGTGTAAGAGGGCACGCCCACCATGTGTCACCACAACACCTACAGACAGGGGCAAAGCACCGTCTCCTAACGCCTCCGCTCAAGCAGCTCAACCCAGCCACCTGCCCTAGATATCATAAACAAATATTATGTAATACTGACAAAGTGCAGCAACTAATGAAACTGATGTTATCGGAGCAACTTTGGCAATGTTTGATCCAAGTTTCATTACATTTACTCTAACCCTGTAACTCTGTTAAAATATCTTCTTGTATCCTTTTGTTGTCTTCTTTGGTTCTACAGAATACATTTTTAGAAGTATTTCCTTTATAAAGCAATCCAAATTTAGTAACATCCGTCACCTGACCATTTCAGCAATTTGTTAGATCTAAAACCCTAACCCTTAACCCATAGATTTATTTGTAAATACTCTAGTAATTCAATTGTGATTAGTTGTGGTCATTTAATAATTCTTGATAATATACTTTGTGTTGTTTGATGACCTTGATGAGGGCCACACGCTGAAAAATGCCACTTGTACCCCAAAAAAGTTGTCCCTATACCAGTGTTTCTCAACCTGGGGTCAAGGGACCTCCAGTGGTCCTTCAGGGTGTTCCAGGTGGTCCCCAGAAAATGGGGAACATTTGAATTTCACTATAATGCTGCATTTCCCCCCAAAAAAGTGTGTGACACAGTGGGTTCAGTTGTAACCTTTGCTATCTCGATTCCTCTCACTGTGAAGAGCCTTTCAGACTGGCACCCAAACTGCGTGTGCCCAGTCGGGGGGCCCATCCCATTCAGCTCAGCATGCCATATCCCATCAGCACCGGCAGCAGTCACGGATTACCAGGCGCACTGAAGCTCAAATCCTATCATGAGGAGGGAGAAGCATTTGAGAGCCAACACTACGAGAAGTAGAGTCTGTGGCACACTGAAGAGTCAGCAGGAGTTCACTGAAAGTCTGCGTTGGTGATTCTAATTCTGACTTTGCTGAAAGTATATTATGAGAAGCCAATGTCTTCTCTTGAGGCTGACTGGCAGGTTGTCTGCGCCACATACTGGGTTGAAGCCAATAGGGTCATATTTTCTTGGCACTGGCTGTTGTAACCATGTTGTCATGCGTTTTATACATTGGTCTTCCAGCTGGCCACAAGGATCCTCAATGAGCCACACAGCCAGGACATCTGTTTGATTCCTCATTGATCCATAGAAAAAGCTTCACAAGCACCAGAAACTATAGTTTGCATTACTCAAAACATCTGACACTTCAGCCTCCTGCAAAAGACACATTTAGTTTCATGAACTGTGTGACGCATCCACACTCACACACACAGACAGACTGACCTGCATCTCCTTGTCTCCATATTTGGAGGGGTGCTTGCTGCCCTGGCTCTTCCTGCGCAGTTTCTTCAGCTCTGCCTGGCATTTCTCCAAACTCTCCCCTTTGCTCTTGTGCTCCATCTGGTACTTCTTCAGCGCAGCCTGAGGGGGGCAGCACAAAGTCAGCAGGGGCACGGGATTGCTCACATGTGTTAGCCTCCACAGAAGATATTTTACACTGACATACATTCATTCCAAACTGCCGTGACAAGTAGTCAGCTTCTGTATTACTGTGAAGAATGGGGAGTGGAGAAGTGAGGGAGGATGGTACTCTGGGATCGTGATGTATTGGTTATTTCTCCTCCTCCTTTTCAGCTATTTCTTCTTTTGTCTGTCCTCTCTATCTAGAGCAAGCGATACTATACTAGGGCTGGCCCAAGCCCTGGGCAAAATTTGTTTACAGTGCCTCTGATTAATTGTTGGGGCTCTACCAATAACAGTTTTATACTTTGGATTTGGCAGAGCCCAGATAAAATTCATTGGATGCCATGTACAGTGACCTAAAATCTTAAAATCTGGTTTATTTCTCATAGCAAGTGTAATATTTGTTAAATCAGGTGAAATGCCATCAAATCCCCAAAAATGGTAGTGGGCCCAAATTATTGGGGATTGTCTGTTATTTAAATCCCCAAATTTGGTGTGTGCCCAAAAATTCATATATGTATTAATATATCAAAATTAGGGAGTAAATCCTTAACATGACAATGTAAACAGGATTGCTCTGCTCTGCTTTACATAGTTACAACTCATCGTTTAGCTGTGTATAAATTATTAAATAAATTTACTGTTCTGGTTCACTAACTGATGTACTGTATAATATGATGTGTTTTTATAGCGAAAAAGCTCTAAAAACCCACTGGACCTCTTCCTGGCCAACACCAGACAGACAAGGTTAGCTGGTGAACATAGTGGAGCATTTAGCAGGTAAGAGTAGAGTCAATAATTTCCTTCAGGAGTTGGTAGAGACCAAAAAGAGAGCTAAACAAGAGTACAAAGGAATTATAATCAGCTGGATGTAAAAATAAGCAACTGCAATATCAACTTAAATGGTCATATGTCAACAAATCACTTATTGCAGATTTAAATGTACCCTATTTCTGCTTTTTCTGTGCATGGTCACAGGGGCTGGAGCCTATCCCAGCATGCACTGGACAAGTGCCAGGGTACACCATGCATATGTCCCCAGGCTGAGTGCTGCCAGTGGATGTACTATATAGAATATGTGGCAAATACAACGTAAAGAAATATACAAATCAAATATAAAACATGAGGTCATTAAGTGGCTCTATAGCTGATTTGCATTCGAATACATCAGAATTTCTGACTGTAATGATCAGAATGACATTCATCGAAAAGCCTGGTACATCCCCTGTCTCAACGGATGAAATGTTTTTGGAAGAGATTCTAAACTACTGATCATCGTAAATGATTTTTTTTTTTTTTTCCAAAACAACTCATTTTCACAGAATGAGTCATAATTCACAGGGCAGAGTGGGAAGTAATTTATGTAACTTGCTGCAGTGGTTTGGATGAAAGCCGGTGGGAAATTAAAGAGAGAGTGTGCATTTTGTCTCTGGCCAACGATTTTATGAGAACATGGTTCATACTGTATTCCCCATAACCTCACTCACTGGAGAGACCTAACTGATGTGGACCAGAGTTAAAAGTGGTGTTTCATTCAAGCACACGGTGGGTCACGTACGCTGTTACATAATGAATCAGAATATGATGCCGTGTGAATATTCTTTAAAAAAACAGGTCAGTCAATTAATACTTTAAGTTGGATTTGTAGTTTTTCTTCTTTATGGTAAGGATGAAGTGGGGCCTAAAAAAATATAATGAAATCACTTCCAGCCTCACCACAGTATAAAGGTGGAACATTCATGAGAAAAATTGCTGAGCAACAATGAGAGTTAGATATTAAACATATTATAGATAACTGAAGTCCAGGTCCAGGCTAGCATCTGTTCTGTTAGCTTTTATTGTTCAATGTAGTTGAAGATAAACATTTCTGCCAATTCGCCAGTCCAATAAGATCCCACTTTTATTATGCACAAGCACTGTGAGTATGTCAGCAGCGTGACGGTTATTTGAAGTGTCCGAAATGGATAGCAAAGTTACTATTTGCAATGATTGCTCAGCGTTGGTCATGCAAGAAGGAGCTAAAACCTTTCGACACTACAAATTTAACTGCCCCTCTTAAGAGCCGTCATCCTGATCATTATGATGAAAGAAACCTGTAGTTGTCTTATTCTGCCCAGTTTATCAGTCTTATTCTGTCCAGTGAATGTGTACATTTTGAAAAGCAATGTATTTTGTGTCTGCATCTGCCAGTGGGCCATTACAACAAGAGCAGGCATAATAATAATATGTTAATTCCACTACAGGAGAGACTTGACATTCTCTGCAATTAGATGGAAGAAAATATGTGCATGTGTCGACATCGGCCAAAATGAAATATTGGCATATTGTATGTCTGCATCCCCAAGAACTCCACCATGAACTGACAGACACACAACACACAACACTTTACATCCAATAATTGTCTGATTTGGTCTCGACAAATTTCTAAAAAAAATGTCTATTTTGTTTTCTATTTTGGGTTTCTCCTACTTCAGCTAGTCCCTTAACTCTGACTGCCTGTTGTTTGGTACTGGGCGTGCAGTAAATAGAGGGTTTATCAGAGCTTGTTTGCTGAAATGGCTGCCTGCTGTTGCTGGAAATGAGGTTGATGAGAGTGCTGAGACCGAACCAAACAGTATATGTGGTGTAAAACCAAATCAATGAGCTAAAA